GATATCAGATCATCCGCTCTGTACAGCCAGCAACACACCCAGGTCTCCATGTTTCCATGCAGTAATTGTGGCTCATGTCTCAGTATTAAATGCAGGACGTGTTCAGCCTGCAATAATTATTCCGCTTTTATCTCACTAAGGTCCAAGCTACTACGTTAATGATAACAGCTGGCTGATGTGGCTGTCGGGTAATTGCTAATAGTTAAATGGTGTTCACGTGCACGCTGGCCAGGTTAGCATGTGTGACAGCTGGTTAATACTTCAGTGTTTTTGAAATGGGAGCTTTACTGAACTGAAAAAGCGTTGTTCAGTCGTATGAACATTAACTACTTCATCTGCTAGTGAGGAGACGAGAGTCTGTCTGCATGTGCTGTGTGAAGTTGTATGCTAGCTGAAAGGAACCAACATGCCACTGTTGGTATTGATATTGTTGCCAAGTATCTTAAATTGATATCATTTGTTAGCATCGATTAATATCTGAGTACAGATTTTCTGGACAGACCTACAGTGCAATATTTGGTCAGAGAGCCTCACTTCACAGTTTGATAGATATACAGGACCAATTAAGCTAAATACATGAAGTGGCACAGTGGTTAGCACTGTTTCCTCACAGAAAGGTCTCCACAACTCCACCATCTGCTCTGTACCCTTCTGTGTGGACTTTGCATGTTCTCCCTTTGTCTGCGTGGGTTTTCTCCAAGTACTCTGGCTTCCTCCTACAGTCCAAAGACATGCAGTTAGTGGGGTCAGGGTAATTCCTGATTCTAAAAGGCCCATAGATGTGAACGTGAATGCAAATGTCTGTCTCTCTGCGTTAGCCCTGTAACAGACAGACTGTACCCTGGGATAGCTGGGATTTTAACTGATTTGCCTCTTTCTTATGAATACTGCTTGCTTATTGTATTTATGTGGTGTTATATACGTATATGCAACATACAGAGACCTCCTGTGACCCTGTGAATTATGATAGTGTATCCACTAGCATAGTTGATCAGACATCGCTGCCTATTTTCTATAATCTATTACCAACTGGAATTGTTTACTCTTAAATCTTACTGTCACCTTAATGAAAGAATTGTATTCTGTAATCTCATATTTTCCCACAAGTCATTTTTGTGATTTAAAAAAAATGAATTAAAGTAAATCTATAATTTGTTGGAGAAAAATACAGTGGATTGATATTGATTACTCGATTTACAAACTTCCAAATTAGGAGGTTTTACAAACTCTTAGGAATTACAGTCTTTATACTGTATGAAGAGGTTAAAAAGTAAATTACACAATTTAATGAA